TATATATATATATATTTTAGTTTTGATATTCTCCACAAGACTAAAGTCAGGCTCACAGACAGCACTGGGAGCTTGAAATGTTGCACGTGTATCAACTAGTTGTAACACTACATTGCATTGTCCTACATTCTGTCACATTAAAGTCCCCATTGCCTGAAAATTTGTCATGACCTTTACTTCATGTTTCTCTGCAATTATTTATTTGTAGCCCTTGTACTGGTTCGCAATGAACTCCTTCTCCTCCTCCATGGTCTTTGGGCTGATGACTTCACTTGACTACAGTCCCAAATTTTTCTGTATTTGTAAACTAGCTTGCTAATGTTTTCAGTGCCAAATTCATCCCTGAGTTTATGTGAGGGAAGTGAGGCAAAGTCTAAAGCTTCCCATTCATTTGGTTAATTCTCTGGAAACCTCTTATTCAGAGGCTCACACAGCAGGGCGATGAAACATAGAATAGGTTAACTGCGGAACGGGTCATCAGTTGTGCTTGATTTGGTTTGATTTTTCACACTGTTGCTCCAAGAGACTATTTCTCTGAGATCCTTCCCTTGCATCCTGCAGCTCTGGGCCCTTGCTAACTGCACAGCTTCACTTGTTGTTAAAGAGCCCTACTACCACTATTTGGAAATAACTATTTCGAAATTAGTGCTATTCCCTGAGGAAAGCAGGAGGACAGATTTTGCAATAAGCAGCCCATTATTTCAAAGTAATCGGCTTGATAGTGTGGATGCTCCACTTACTAATTCAACCTCGTGGGGGAGGGGATTTTGAAATAAAGCCCTAGAGTAGAGCAGGGCCTTAAGACTGGCGCTGAGGCTGAGGGGAAGCTGGAGGCTGAAGACGTGCAAAGGTTCTGGGGAGGATTTAAGCAGTGGAGCAGGAATAGCCCAGCAAAACCTCCCACGCAGCCAGGCAGCTCCAAGAACAGGGTATGGCCATACAGCTGGGAGGGGTGATTTCATGGGGCGCTCTGGGGTGACTCCTTCAAGAACAAATCACAGACGCAGGAGAGGGCCCATCATAGGGTACAGGAAAGGTGAAAGAGTTGCCCACAGCTTCCCAAGGGCCCATTGTAGGGCTGCGCCTCAGCCTGGTAGAGACACGTGCAAAGTGTATCGCAGCTGAGGAGCCTTTGTGCCCAGGACATGCTGTGTGTGTCACTGCAACAGTTTGGAGCTCCCCCAGGCCAGTAAAGGTTTCACTCTCTGTCTGCTTTGTATATGGGGTATCCTGTGGCTGCACAGCTTTCAGCTGGAGCTCTGACCCCCACCACCCACCCAGACCCATGAGCCTCACCCTGGGTGTGCCCAGCCTGGTCACTCTTGC